AAAAAAGTTTGAGGATGACATACCTGAAACATATGTTCATTGTAAAAACCTGGAGAGTACTGCAAAGGGAAATACCCACCATCTCCAAAAGCCCAAGCTCTTGCAATTAAGAGGCCATAATTTGCAGCTTCTTGAAATGCAAAAGTAATTTTATATCTCTGAGATTGATCAGATGCCACATACATTAACCAGTATGCATTAAACCCATTTGCATAAAATGGGCTGCCATTTAGCATGAAATGCCCTCTCTCTGTTCTCACAAATTCATTCTCTGCTGTGACTTGTGTTGAAAAGTTTTGTTCTTGGATCAACACAAAAATCAATAAGATCAATATCAATGTACATGAAATCCTCATTCTTATTTTTTGCAGTGTTTTATTTAATTCCCTCCTAACAAGTTTGTAACTTGTTCCTGACGACTATGGTATTTAATAGAGTTATTCTTTTCCTCCCTTCATATAGTGCCAAGTTATAAAGTATGTACAATTTTTGTACGATTTTCAATATTGTTGCCTACTTCAATGTGTAATGAGTAAAGAAGAGTAGAATACATTCATCTTTTCTGANGGTTTCTTGCTCTGTTTCTTCTTCATTTTCCTTTATTTGCTATGTATATATCCATATTATTATTCGTAGCATGAAATAAATTGGAGTTCTAACAACTTTGATACCGATTTTTGACAAATATTTGTTTGTGGAGCAATGACAGATAATAAAATGAAAGTTGATTATATATCAAAGTTTCAAATTACTGCAATGTTATATATAAGGGGAAAAAAAAGAAATATAAGGCCACAAAATATTATAGATATATAACTGGCCTGCACTAGTACACATATGTCGCCAGGTCCTTTCAGGAGCTCACGGGCTGCTTCTGATGGTCTCTGAAAAAAGCTTTGATAATTTTGAACGTATTCGTCACATATAATTTTAGCAACTTTAAGTTAGCCATGCACGTGAAGTGGACGGTTGAAAATAAATAAGTCCTTATGCATTTTATTGAACTTATCTAGTTCTTTATTAAATTTATTTAATATAAATTGATTATTAATGGAATTGAAATAATTAATTAATATAATACATTTATGCACAATAATATATATTGACGTCGGGCGCCAAGCAGACTATAGATTGATGTGGCATAAGGAAAATATAAGGTTGATAGTAAAATGTAATTTTAATATACTAACATTGGACGTTTCCCACTATTGTCCACTAAGGATGGCAAAACGACTTGGACTCGACCCGGAACATTTGGGGCGAACCCGACCTGCCCCGTTTATAAAATGGGCCAGGACGGGTCCGTCCTGTTTTAAAAACGGGCCAGGTTCGGGTCCAATGTATTGCCCCGTCCTGGCCCGCCCTAGCTATATATATATATATAGATATTATATATATTATAATATATGAAGTAATTTTAGGGTTTTTAGTTCATTTTTCACTCCCCATTCCCGTTCCCCGCCTCTCATCTGTCTCTGTACTGTGAAATTCGACCTCGCCAAGTCGCCAGTTGTCTCTCCGTCTCCTTCTCAAATTCACTCCACCGGCCAAGCCCACACCACCCACCGTCTGCCTCTCATCTCCCACCGTCTCGCCTCTCCTCGCCCCCAACTCGACACCTCGGCTCAAAGGCTTCTTGCCGGCGCCTCTCCTCGACGCCTCGTCAGATCAAATATATATTTTTCCTGAAATTTTTGGTATAACATTAGACGAGGCAGGTCTGTTGGGATTTAATGTTGGATTTGTTTTTGATATGTCTGTTGGGATTTAATGTTGGATTTGTTTAATTTATTATGTCTGTTGGGATTTAATGATTTTTGAATCTTATGAGAAATGCTGAATTGATTGTGAATTAATGCTGAATTGTTGATGAATTCATTGTTAAAATCATGCTTCTATTGTTTTTTTTGTTGAATTTATTATGAAATTAGAATCAGGCAACCAGGTCCATCATGTACAACCCATTGTAGGTAATTTGTAGGAAAAAATAAACAAAAGGGGCGGGCCAGGGTGAGGCGGCCCGCCCCGACGCAGGCCAGGTCTCGGGGCGGCATTCTTGGACCCGTGGCGGGTCACGGGCAAGGTCGGGGCGCGGGCCTATGCTCGCGGGGCAGGTCCGGGTACTGAACTACCTGGCCCGACCTGCCCCATTGCCATCCCTATTGTCCACTAACTTTTTGAGATTGCAGTACACAATAATGAGTGTTCGATGATGCTTTAAAGCTAAGCAACTTTAGAGTATCCTTACCTAACCAAACCTTCTAATGAGTAAGGTGGTCAGGGGTAGATACTTGCATAATATCAATGTCTGAGAATCTCAATGGTTGCTCTCTAACCAACATTGCAAGCATGCTTGTCTTTTTCAGTCTACCAAAAAGAAGATTGTAATGGGTAAGTGACTTGATGCAAAATGGAAGAGAATGGGATAGAGAGCTCATCCACCAGACCTTCAACCCCACTGAGGCAGCTAAAATTCTCCAAATCCTTATCTCGGTGAGGGGCCAAAAAGATAAGATGATTTGGCACTTTGATAGCAAAGGCAAATTCTCAGTAAAGTCTGCTTACTCGGCATTCTTGGCTAGAAGACTTCAAATCAATGAAGAACCTGGATCTAGCCAAGGAAGGGAGAAAGTCAAGAAGATGTGGAGATACATTTGGAAACTCACCATCAACTTTATTCAAAACAACTCACTTTAACCAATAAATCCAATAAACCCAATTTTATTTATTTCCAGTCGCCCCTAGTGAGTTTGCCTTTAGTCCAAATAATGTAAAAACAATAACAAAGCATGACAAACAAAGATCTTTATGTTAAGTCTACCGTTTGTTAAAAAATATTTTAATTTCCAATATATAATTTAATTATGGGTAATATATTATATACAATTATATTATTTAATTAATTAATGACTCAATTAAGTGATCAAAATAAAATAGAGTCCATGGACTACGTAATTGATATGGGCAGACACGGTGGGTACCTAATTTATTAGGGCTAAGTGATAATGGGTGGCCAACCCTAGTAGTTTATATAGACCTTATGTGCTATGGTTCCCTATACACTAAATCAAACGCAATTCCCTTTTCTCCCCATCGAAATTGAGAACTACGGTCTCATATGAAGAACAAGGCGATTTATTCAATGTGGACCATAAAATCGATCTCGTTCGTGATTAAGGATGAGTTTGAAAATGAAAAATATATTTTATATCTATTTATATATTTTAATCAAACATATTTATATATTTATTTTGAAAAGTTCTTATATTGAGGGAAAACAACAAACAATTATGAATGTAATTTGAAGGTTTTTGCCTTCACGGGAGCGATAAATAAATTTTCAAGATTAAGCCTGAAAGACCAATTGTAATCCTTAATTTTAAGTCATATTGGCTGGTGCTGCACTCTTTTTTCCATAGTTGAGTTTCATTTTTCCCCACGGTGTTTACTCAGTAAGATTTTTAATGAGGCAACAAGTGTAACAAATGAATTTGTACATGTCAAGTACTCTTTTCCTCGATTATGTTTTTTCACTGAGTTTTGCAGCAAGGTTTTTAATGAGGCATAGACACGATGCGGTAATGTCCAAGGAGGAGTATTGTAAATACCTATTTGTGGACTTTTCTAAATATAGCCTTCGTAAGTATGGATCAAGGACATAGATATGGTGCGTTAATATGACTTTACCATTTCTATTCTGTTGTTTTGTTTGTTGCTCTCTCTCATTTTCTTTATCTTACATATTCATCGTTGATCATATGAATCCAATGTTCTAAAAAGCGCAGTATAGTGAGCTTTAATGCGCACTATAGTGCAAAAAACACAAAAACGCGGCATAGCGTTTCTAATTTTGCATTATGCCCATAAAGCCTACGCTAAATGCTTACGTAGCATGTTAGGCATTATTTCACGCTTTTTACACTATTTTGCGTTATTTTCACGTTAAAGTGCCAAAAGAACAAAATGATTGAAAAATTAAAGCTCATAATTTCAAACAGTAATGGAAAATTAAAATGCTTGATATCACATTTAAATTAAATTTTTTAGATTACATTAATACATTATACAGTTGATTTGATAGTTTAAATTAAAGTAAATTTATAATTTTTATTTTTTAATAGTCATATTATGACATTTATATTCAATATTTATAAAGAATAAAATTTGAATATTATCTTTTAGATTTAATTATTTTGTATGTTCCGGTAATATATGAATTTATATAGCATCATTTTCAAATATATTTCTAGTTCAAATAGCTTATGCACCATACTACGCTACGAAGAACCAAAATACGATAGATTACACTATTCGCCTTTTAAAATACTATATGAAATAATCTATATTACAACAATTTTTTATCCTCATTTTAAGATCTATCCAGCCCAAATAACTCGGCCCATAGTCCTAAAAAAGCCCAATTACGTTTTCTTCCTTCTGGCTTGAAGAAAAAGAAAACAAAGCGAAATTTGCTCCTTTTCTCCTGATTCTGGAGAGAGAGAGCGAGCTACTGATACATACAAATCTCAGAATCTATTTTCCTGTTATTGTTGAGAAGGCGATTTTCATTACCAACGTAGAAAATGTTCAGAAACCAGTACGACACCGACGTCACGACCTGGTCGCCGGCGGGGCGGCTTTTCCAAGTGGAGTACGCAATGGAGGCGGTGAAGCAGGGCTCGGCAGCAATTGGTCTGAGATCGAAGACCCACGTGGTGCTCGCGTCCGTCAACAAGGCCAGCTCGGAGCTTTCCTCGCACCAGAAGAAGATCTTCAAGGTGGACGACCACATCGGTGTCGCCATCGCCGGGCTTACGGCGGACGGCCGTGTGCTTTCCAGATACATGCGCAACGAGTGCATCAGTTATTCTTATACCTACGAGTCGCCGCTCCCCGTCGGCCGCCTTGTTGTTCAGCTGGCCGACAAGGCTCAGGTTTGCTATCCGCCGTATTTGGTTAGCAAGTTTTAAGTTCTCTAATTTCTCGTGCTGTTTTGATGATTTTTATGCGGAGAGCATGGTGTAATTGAGAGTTAGGGTTTAAGATTGCGGGTTGCTAGGTTGAACAGTTTGTGTGTGAAAGGGCGTAATTGAATAGAACACTAGACTAAGAAGAAAATGTTATTTTTTTAACTTTTAATAATTTACAAGATGTATTTTCACATCTAATTTTGGAATTGAGGCATAAGGTTTTGGATTCAGGTGCAGTTTGTGGGGATTCCTGGGTATAGGAATTTATGTTTAAACTGAGAAAGGAAATAACTGATAAGTACAAGTGTATAACAAATAAAATTTACTTAAATCGGTCAGTTTGAAGGGGAAAATTAACGAATTTTCCAGTATTAAGTATCAGTATGCCTTACTCTCGGCAAAACGAAAGCTTGTTAAAAATGGTTGTGTACATACGACTGATTAATGTGAAGCATGCTTTTGTCTCAGGTGAAAACTTACGTTTTTATTTTATGTTGTTAGCTTATTTATTAGTTGTAGCCCTTGTCCACCAGAAGTTAATAATATAGTTTCTAGTAAGAAATTTGGAAGTCTAGAAGAAATACTATTAAGCTATCCTTGGATTTCCGAATGAACCTACACAGGCTGGCTATTTTAGAACTGCCCTGTGTTCCGAAATTGATGATTTAAGGAGCCTATTCTGTATCTTGTGCATTTTAATCGCCAAGGGAATGGCTAAGTAGCATGGACTGCAATATGTTCGAAAACATGCATCTTGGTTTCTTCCAGAAGTTAATTTAAAAAGGAAGTTCCGTGATCTTTTGTCAAAATTTTGTTTCACAATTTGACCTAGAATTTGTAAGTTGTCATACATTTTGGTCAAACTTCATGTCCGTACCAAAATTTAAAGCATTGGGAAGAGTTAATTTCAATAGTTTCTGAGTTTTGTGGCTTTGTATATGGAACATAGACCTAGTATAGTAATCTTTACAGCTGGTCTTGTTTTTGTAGGGTATCTTTTGTCCATTTTAGTTGTTATATGATTTGTTTTGGGGACGACAGTAAATTATATATCTATCTTATACAGGCTGCTAGTGGGAACAAATCATTCTTTGAGTGTATCTCTATCATATGTTACTCGCATACTGTTTCATAGTACGACATTCTCTTTTCTGCTTATCTCTGTTTCTAAAGTGGATTTGTCAATTTTTAGTCTGAAATTTTGTTCTGCTGAATTCATTGGATTTACCTGTTGGTTTCTGTTTAGTAGTTATGGACTGAGGGTACACATGCAATTATCAAATTCCACATTGTCCTTTAGTTTAAAATAACCTGATGAAGATTCACATTGTAGTTGCTTAATTGGTGTCGATTTATTTTGTACTTGGCATAGACATGTAAATAAACTGATTTTGATTTAGTGAAAATGTTTTGCTAAAGAGTAAAAACTTGTCTGTTAAATATATGTTGCAACTTGTAACAATGGAGAAATTCAGTTCTGACTTCAGAACTTCAATTGCTACGTCCAATCCCTACAGATAAACTAGTTCGCTATTTTAATTCATCTACTTTAATATCTCAATGTTCACCAGGAAAACCGTGTAGCATAGCTTCAACCGTAGTGAAGTTTGGTTAATTTCTGTACACAACCACAAAACAGATATATAGGAATTAATCCGGGTGATTTTCTTAGGAGCAAATATCAATAAGCCATCATATCATCCCATATATAATGATTTATGCTGCAACCACTAAGTATGCAAAAAGGTTTTCTGGTTGACGTGAATCGAAACGTATCAGCATGTCCAATTAAACTCAAACTATATTGGCATTAAGTTGTATTTCAGCGTATATTTTTCTAAATGTGTTCTATTCTTACATCAACTCATCCCAATTCACACACGCGCATGTTCCCTTCACAATTTTTTTTTCTTTTCAGGGGCTTTAAAATTCTCGATCCTTCGTTTTTCTTGTTTCCTCCAAAACATATCAGCCAAAAAAAAAAAAAAATCATTTCTAATTGTCTTTATCGAAAATTATCCAGGTCTGCACACAACGATCATGGAAACGGCCTTACGGGGTAGGTCTCCTGGTAGGTGGGCTGGACGAGTCCGGGGCCCACTTATACTACAACTGCCCTAGTGGAAATTACTTTGAGTACCAGGCTTTTGCCATTGGGTCGAGGTCCCAGGCTGCCAAGACTTATCTCGAGCGAAAATTCGAGACCTTCACAAGCTCTTCTCGAGATGACTTGATCAAGGATGCTCTTTTCGCGCTTCGCGAGACTTTACAAGGCGAGAAGCTGAGTAGCTCAGTGTGCACGATTGCTGTGTTAGGTACAGGCGAGGCCTTTCACGTGCTGGATCACGAGACTGTGCAGGGATTGATCGATGAGTTTGAGGTGGCAGGGGAGGATTTGCCTGCGGACGAGACCACCGATGGCAATGGTGGAGATGCGGCTGCTGCAGCTGCTGCACCTATGGATATCTGATGAGTTTTCTTTCTTTTGGTTCTTTTTGAATTGAAGTGTTTGTTTGTTTTTTTTAAAGATGTTTTAGATGGAAGTGGACAGGTTTTTATCTGTTTGAGGGGGAAAGGGGAACTTGCTATATTTGCCAAGTGGATTTTATATGTTCGTGTTTTCGGATGATATTATTGATTGTGATGATGATGATCTGTGGGGTGTTTTAATGATGTTACTGATGTTGGTTGAATTGGTTTTGGCATTTGGTTTTCTTTGGAATTATTGATTAGCTTTTTGGGTTTTATGTGAGTTTGTTGCTCCTTGCTCTAATGTTTTCTCACTAATAATATATCTAATGTTTTCTCACTAATAATATAAAATGCTTCTAGTGTGCTAACATATCTTATGTGAAATTACATACATTTTCTTGAAGTTACATACACTAGTTTTTAATCCGTGTATTTGCACGGAAAGTAATATAATTGAACAAAAAATAATAAAAAGATATAAATAATAGTAAAAATCATAATATAATCATTGAAAAAATGTTCTAAGAAAGAATAACTTAATATTGTTAAACAATTCTTTATATACAACGTTTGTGGTTTTTCTATCAACAGAATTTTCATCACTATAAATCACTATCTTCAAATTAAGACATATAATGGTTTTATTTTTTTAAATAATTATTGTATTTTGTACTATAGATCATATAGGAAATTTTAAAAAAAAAATACTAAAAAAATACCAGCAAAATATTACAAAATAAATAATTGTATTTGGTTGATAAATAATGATATGTGTCAAATATTTAAGACATTTGAACAAAATGGCAATTTTTAGGCCATGAAGAAATATATTGATTGAATGATAAAAAAAGCTCAAATTAGAAGTCCACTTAATTTTTTAGAGTAGCCAAAATCAAATATAAAATAGGTCAATGATAACATGACTATGAATAGAGATAAACTCCTTTAGAGTGATGTAAGCCAAATTTTTTTTGTTTGATGTCGGCGCTTCGCTCGTTATTCACTCTGTCTGAAACCCTAATTCTTAACCCGATCTTACGACAAACTCGGCGAGATTCAATACAAAACAAATGTTTTACCGGAGATTTTCTCCTGGTAAAGGCTTAAAAAATTAAAACAAAACATCCGAGAAATGTTGTTTTTGTGGCCAACAGTAGTGATTGAAAAATAAATATTCGTCCCGATTTCTTAATCTGTGTTGCTAAATCTTAATAGGTTGGTCAAAATCGGGCGATAATATTACAAATCTATGAAGAGCTGAAATATTTTTTGTTAAACGTAGTTTTTATTTTTTATTATTTTCAATGATTTGTGTCGTTTTACGAAATTCTTTGTGAATCTATCATTATATAAAAAGAATAACCTTTTTACAAATTTAGAAACTTTTTCCCGCCAAATTCATTAAATATATCCTACATATAGTAATTGTTAGACAAATCTGAATAGGCAAAAAAATCGGCTCATTAATTGTGTAAAGATTTGTTTCTTTTTTTCCTGGTTTTTAGTTTATCAAAACCGTTGTTTGACAATAAATATTTATTTTTCTTTTTCTTATTTTTAGTATAAATCTACACGAGCTTATCTCTTCTGTTACAAATTCTCATTGCATATGTGTGTTTAAAAAATCTCATCCCTTATCTATACAGATTTGAAAAAATAAAATAAAATATAAACTAATTCATAATTACTACTAGAAATCCATTATCTTTAAAAAGAAAAAATAAAATAAAATAGAAACAAATTCATAATTACTACTAGAAATCCATTATCTACTTTAAGAAGCTAATTTTCATCGACCTAATTACTATTATTTTTACAAATAATATAAGCTAACCATACAAAAAAGTATAATAATAATTTTGAAATGGTGTGTAATCAAATTTTTTTATATTCTCTTATACAAAATAATTTTACATTATTTGACCCCGAATATTTAATTTATAATTATTAAGTATTGTTTATCCTCTTCTTTAATATATAATTATTTTTTTCTTTCTCTTTTTAAATAGGATCAATAGTAGTTTCCACTTCCGCCATTGAGTGACTCAAACTCGAGGTCTATTTATAATATTGTTAATTTAATATTGTTCCCGTGCATCGCACGGGGTACACACTAGTAAGCTTCAAAGATATATCATATTTTATACATAATTTGAAATTATTTAGATGTTTTTCGAAATCGTTTTTTGAAAAGAACATGACATTGGTTGAACTTTTTCAAACTTTTATGTATTTTGTTCAGGGTTTGAAAAAATAGGTAAGTTTCTAACAGATCTGTTCAGCTCTACTACAAATATATAGGTAAGTTTATAACATATCTGTTCATATTTGTTTATAACATACATATGTAACTTTTATGTATTTTGTTCAGATTTTGAACACTAAATAGTTCAATTCTTTCTCGTCTTTCTCATCATATCAGTAAGTGAAGCTTTGCTAACACTTGTTCAAAATCGTTTTTCGAAGTTGTTCAAAGTCTTTTGCCGAAGTTTTTAGTATTTTGTTCAAAATTTGGAAATATTAGGTAAGTTTATAACAAATCTGTTTAGATATATTTATCACATATTAGGAATTTCTTGTTTAATGTTTAAAAGAATCTGTAGGATTTTCTATTTTTAAAAGTTGTACGCAAAAATCAATTTTAATATAAAGGCAGATGTCTTGGTAAATGTTGAATGTGTTGACAATGATAGGGAAATCAAATTATTTTCTTTTCTATATTGTATACTGTCCAATAATGTTCCACATAATTTGATGTGTTTTTAATTTTGATTTTTTCACATAGATTTGACTTTTTTTTGTTGATTATTAATTATGCTTGATATTTCTATATTATGCAACAATCTGCCATTACATACAATGCCTTGTCAATCCTCATTCTTTGACTTTGCTAATTTCCGTTTAATATGACTTTTTTGTTGCTGAAAGTATGGTTTTTAATGCATTAATCATGCAGAAATTTGTCCTACCACTTTTTTTCTTAAAGATGAATTGTTTAATGAAAATTAATCATATTTATATTTATAATTGTGAAATAATATTTTTTTTCACGGCCAACAGTTTTTTATTTTTTATTTTTTTAATGAAAAATATGAGAAAATTTATTCAGCACACTTTATAAAACATAATGTTGATTGCGATAATCAAATCTGCAGAAATCATGCATTTTGTTGAATAGTAGTAATATAAAATATTATATTATTACTACCAAATGGAAAGTCAAAGATAGTAATTTTGCACTATTAATTATGATCATATGGATTTTTTTTATACATATGTTTTTTCAATGAACTTTTTAAATGATAATATTGACAATATAGACTTTGCTATAATAATTATATAAATTGTGCTATAGTAAAAAATTATTTATTTAAGTCATTATTATTTTTTAATTCATCTTATTATGCGTATAGTCTAAGTTTATAAATTATATGTCTGTATCTATACTACTAATTTATAAGGTTTTACTATTTGGGGGAGCTAAATTTTTAATTTTAATTATGAAACTAATATTTCTTATCATTTTGCAGCTATATGTTTGATGGAGTATAGCTAGAAATTAAATTAAAAAAAAAATTATTTTTTATATTGTAATGTAACATGATTTGTATTATAATGTTTGTATTTAATACATTTATTAATATTTTTTATAACTTTAATTGCTTATTCAATTCATAATGGAATAAAATAATAATAATATATAGTTTCTGCACAATAATAATGACTGCCACGTTTATATATATAATTGAGAATAAGAAACATAAATGTGGGATTAACTAAAAGAAACCTTTTTAATTTAGCCATTAACTAATTAGGTTTAACTAAAAGAAACTTTCTTAAATGTGGAATTAGTGAGTACTTAATTAAAAAAAATGTAACTCTTTTTGGAGGGAAAGTGAATGTTTTTATTAAATGGAATTATCTAGTAATTATATATAAATTTTCTTAAGAGAGAAAATGATGCCAATCAAATATGACCGTAAGAGCACCCACAATGTTTTGGGTCTCTTTAAGAAAAATCACATGCAATGTAGGAAATAGACTTAGTTTATAAAAAAGTGTTGCACAATGCAATTAAAAGTAAACCTAGTCTAGCTTATGTGGCAATAAAAAAAAGAGACCAAGTCTACTCTTGGGTCTATTTTGGACTCAAGTGTGTACAATAGTAATCATTTACTATTATTATATTTTTATTGGTTGTCAGGTATTTTAGACCTAATACTTTTTTTTGCATTGGATAAATTTTGGACTTTTTTGCTTGAGTTTGTCCATGTCATTTTTAAGTGTGCCAATGATAGTAGATATAGCAACAACATTGGATCCTGTGATTAGGATATCATCCACATAGATAAGAAGCCAAACACAAGAAGAACTTGTTTGCTTGATGCGTAGAGAGCAGTCAAACTTGGAGTTATGAAAACCAAGGGAAATGAGGGATTGCTTGAGTGTATTGAACCATGCTCGAGGAGCCTGTTTGAGGCCATAAATAGACATAGGAAGCTTGCAAACCAGCTGAGGGTTTTGTGAATCTTCAAACCCAGGAGGTTGAGGCATGTAAAGTTCCTCACTAATCTCACCATTCAGTAAGTTGTTAAAGTCAAAATGTTTAATGCACCAACCATAAAAAAGAGCCAACGATAAAACTACTCTTTTAGTAGTGGGCTTAATAACTGAATTGAAAGTCTCATAGAAATCATTACATGCAGCTTGGTTATAACCTTTGGCAATTAATCTTGCTTTGCGTCCCCAACAAACGAAGCGAAGTGAAGGAAAGGTGTAATTGACTCAACACCCAGCAAAGAAGGTTCAGTCCTGTGTTCGCTTTCGTGCGTTTTCCATATATGCGATCTGGTGGTCGATTTCGGAGTTGGGGTGCTCTGTTGCTTTCAGTCAAGGAATAGCCGCTCATGTGAATGATAGATCTATTTGGAGGGTGAGGGACAAGTGACCATGTCTTGTTTTGCAGTAAGGCCTTGTATTCAGAGTCCATGGTAGCTTTCCATGAAGGGTGAGAGCGAGCCTCCTTGTAGGATGATGGTTCCACCTCATCAAGCTGAGCAGAGAATAATCTTGGTTTTAGGGAACATGTTTTAGACCTGGTAATCATATGATGCATAGGGTTATTTTCATTAGTAGCAATGATATTAGGTAAGTCAGTATCTCTCACAATTGACAAATCAAAAAAGAGAAGAATAGTGGAGTTGGAGGATTGACTTGTACCGGTAGTTGAGGAACTAGAGGATTGACAGAGTTGAGAGTGAGTCTGCATAGGAGAGTGGTTAGGTAAGGGATGTGGATCTGGTGGTGTGGGTGGAGGAGAGTTGTTATTGAGAAGTGAAGTAGTTGGTCTGTGAACAATGGAGGGACTTGAGGCTTGTGTGTTTTCTAGGCCGCTAGTTCGCAGTGGTTCTATGAGAAAGGGAACTGGCTCTCATCAAAGATGACATCTCTTAAGACAATCACTTTGCCTGAGGGAAGTAGGACGTGATACCCTTTGTGTTTGGAGCTGAAACCAATGAAAGTTGAGGGTAATGACCTTGGTTGTAGTTTGTGTTTGTTGTAAGACCTGAGGTTTTATGGCAAACAATTCATTCAGGATTTTAATGTAACAAAATGATGTGAAATTTTAATATTTAAATTTAAATTTGAAATGAGACATGTTTTTACTTGAAGTCTATCTGTCAGATTTTATTGCAAACCAAATCAATTAAGGATGAATTAATCCAAACCGGTTTTTTAGCAATAAAATAATTATACAATTGAAAAAATTGATGGAAATAGAATACATTAATTATCCTTTGACTTTTCTTGCTACTAATTTTAGCAAATAGGATGGATATATATATATATATATATATATAGGGGATGGATCCAATGAGACCACTCCTTAAAATGAGTACGTGAGACTCAATCTTAGCCACTCATTTTTTCTAGATTAAAATCAATTAAAATATACATTAATTAAATAATAAAATAGTTGACCGTTGACTCCGGCGTTGACCGTTGACTTCCGGCGAGAATCGTTGACTTCCATCGTTGACCGTTGACTTCCGGCGTTGACCCGTTGTATTGAAATAAATAACCTAGCAACAAAAGACACTCAACCTTGAGTGGTGTAGTGGTTGCATTGCTTGTCTTACCTCCATGAGGTACCAGGTTCAAATCCTATGGGTTACAATTTTTTTATAGAAAAAAAAATACAACTAACTTAGCAACATCAGACAACTAACCTAGCAACAAAACACAACTAACTTAACAGCATCAGACAACTAACCTAGCAACAAAACACAACTAACCTAGCAGCAAGAAAGAACAACTAAACTAGCAACAAAGACAACTAACCTAGCAACAAAACACAACTAACCTAGCAGCAAGAAAGAAATAACCTAGCAGCAAAAGACAACTAACCTAGCAGCGAAAAGAAATAACATAACCTAACAATAAAAGACAACTAACCTAGCAGCAAGAAAGAACTAACCTAGCAGCAAGAAAGAAATAATCTAGCAACAAAAGACAACTAACCTAGCACCATCAGACAACTAACCTAGCAGCAAGAAAGAAATAACCTAGCAACAAAAGACAACTAACCTAGCAGCATCAGACAACTAACCTAGCAGCAAGAAAGAACTAACCTAGCAACAAAAGACAACTAACCTAGCAGCAAGAAAAAATAACCTAGCAACAAAACTCAACTAACATAGCAAGAAAGAAATAACATAACAAAAGACAAATGGTCAACGGTCAACGTCGGAAGTCAACGCCGGAAGTCAACGGTCAACGCCGGAAGTCAACGATTTTCGCCGGAAGTCAACGGTCAACGCCGGAGTCAACGGTCAATGGTCATAATAATATTTAAATAACTAAAAATAAAGAATTGAATGATAAAAATAAAAAATTATTATTTAAATCAAGATCTAAATCTTGTGGCTAGGAATGAGTCTCACGTCCTCACTTTAAATAATGGGATGCATTGGAACCAATCCCTATATATATATATATATATATATATATATAGATTGCTTTTCTTTGTTATTTATCAATCTAGTGTTTGGTTAGCTTGGTTCGCTACTAGCTTGCAGTCCATTTGTTCATTTTCTAGTTCATGGTGACAGCAGATTTATGTAAGTAGGAAAAGTAGTGGATTTCTGTTTTGTTTTCCTGGGTTTGCTTTAGCAGACAGAAGAAATATCATGGTTGCTTGTTTTCAGTGTTTTGAAAGGAAAAAGAATTGCTTTTGCTTTGTTATGCAAACTGAAGATCATTTCGAACAACACACACATGCATTGTTTTTCAAATAATTTTATGGTCGAAATGCACTTGAAGTTGCAAATTTTGAATCTTCGTAGTACATTGGGGTTGCATTTTACCAAATAAATGTACTTTTTAGTCTGCAAAAGGGTTGCATTTTACCAAATAAATATACTCTTTAGTCTGCAAAATTTGGAAACGTATACAGTACGTACAAAAGCCATTAGAAATTTAGAATCTGCCAACAAATTGTAAACAAAAAGCCAGATAATTTCGATTTCCTCATATAAGCTAAAAACTTAAGTCAGTCTTTTATTTCTTCTTCGACTCAAAACACTTCCCCTGCATTTCTAAACTCACACACAGACTCATAATCAGAAACTACAGACAAGATTCCATCCGCAAAAAGACTCCCAAGATTCGTCATCAAAATCCATAAACNCCAAACGCTGCTCAGGCTGCCATAGCCTGCTTCCTGACGAAATCCACCCCTTTTTCAATACTCGCCTTAAGCTCCGGCTTCAGCTCCTCCAATCCCTTACTCTCGTACTCGGTCAACCCCTCGAGATCCTTCTTCACAAACCCTTCCACCCCTTCCTTCCCAATCTTCACCCTCGACGCGAAAAACGGCAACTCAGGCACTACGCTCGACTCAACATACGCAAACTCGTAAACATCCGTATCCCCATCGAGCGCCCTCAAAGACGACTCCAAAAACCGAGCCGCCGCGTAAGCCATCGACAGCGTGGTGGACCCCGCGCCAGCCTTGGCCTCCACCACCTCCGTCCCCGCATTCTGTATCCTCCCCGTCAGCTCCGCCACCTCCTCCGGCGAGTAACTCGTCAAAGGCCGCGTCTTCGAGAGTAGGGGCAAAATCGTAATTCCGGCGTGCCCCCCAACAACCGGCACGTCAACATCAATCAGCTTCAAGCCCTTCTTCTCGGCAACGAACATGTTGGCTCGGACCACGTCGAGAGTCGTCACGCCGAAAAGCCTCTTGGGGTCGTAAACCCCTTTCCGTTTCAAAACCTCGGCCGCGATCGGGACGGTCGAGTTGACCGGGTTGCTGATGATGTGGACGAACGAGTCGGGACAGGTGTCGGCCACGGCCTCGACGAGGCTCTTCACGATGTTGGCGTTGATGTTGAAGAGGTCGTCACGAGTCATCCCGGGCTTGCGCGGGACGCCGGCCGGAATTACGACGACGTTGGCGTCTTTCAGGCAGCCGGAAAGCTCGGAAGCTCCGGTGAAGTCTTGGACGGTGGACGGGGTGTTGCAGTGGCTGAGGTCAGCGGCGACGCCTTTCACATCGGCTATGTCGTAGAGGTTGAGGGACGAGACGAGAGGGAACATTTTCGCAAGGAGGGCCAAAGGCTGGCCGATTCCACCGGCTGCGCCGAGAATGGCGACTTTGAAGGAAGCTTGGGTGGCAAAAGGCCGTTTTTTTATGGGTTTGTTTCGAGTGGTTTGTGGAGTGGGAGGAAGTGAAAGTGGGGGTGAAGGATGAGTTTAGGCGGCTGTGGGTTTGTAGGGAAGGCGTAGGCCGGAAGGCTCGGGATTGCATTCGGTGGCCGGAGATGGGAGATCCGATCAAGAGTGTGGCCGCCATCGAGAATGAAACCTGCGTGTAGATTGATCGGGATTGTGTCAACTTTTTTCGGAATAGACAAAACAAAGCTACAATAAGAGAAATACAACGAGTAAAAGGTATATATGAGCACCATAAAGAGAGATTGTCATTTCGAAATAGCTTTTGGTTTTTTTGTTTTTGTTTTCAGTGGAAAATGCATGTAGTTAGTTATGTGTGTGATTTGGGGTTCAAACTACGAATAGTATATACGGAGAGCTTCTGCAGAGGTTTATAGTTTAAGAAAAGGAAATTGATTCACTACAACAACATACCCAGTATATTCCCAACAGGTTGGGGTCTGGGGGGTGACCTTACCCTTGTAATTATACAAGGAGGTTGTTTCCGTAGCGACCCAAAGTGCACTGACATTAAAAAAAGAAGGCAGTTGAAAATCAAGAGAGTAATGTTTGCAAATACTAGCTAGCATTTGCAAACATTACAAATACTAGTTAGTATGACGATTTATTAGATAATAATTATGTATATTTATTTAAATTATATGACGATTCGACTCGATTAAGTGTTAGATTCAGTTGAGGTTGGACTTCATATAGTCTCGAGAAACAAAAACAGCAAAAGAGGAAAATAGGGAAATCATTGTAACTTTATCCTAGTATTATGATTATATTCTGTTCATCATTACATATAATTTTAAATTCTTTGGCCTTGCTTACTTAGCTTAATGGTGGGATAAGACAGTTTTATCCCATCAGCTTTACACATCAACTTTTGTATCATGTTTACAAACCATGACACATTTTATCCGGAATCTAATCAAGCATTTACTAAATGTGACAAAAAATTCTGATTTCCATGAAAAGACAAATATAGCCCCTCAGCTTTAGAAAATGTTCGAAGTCATCCTCATTCTATTCTTGCGAAACTAAAATAATTAGAACAAAATTAAAATAATTAGACCCTGCTTAGTAGAGTAGTCTGAGAAGTTCAAGAAAGAACGCCTTTTTATCATCCCCTCAAACTAACCCACGGGCCAAGCCATCACGCATTTCCTTCAAATTGGATTAACATAAGTACACAACAAAAATGATTTTCCCTAAATTAATAACAAATTAAAAGACCCACCATTTGGAATTAACTAGTCACCAATTTCCAGAAACAAACGCAATGGACCCGAAATCGAAGAAACTCCAGCCATCCAAGCCCCTAACGGCAATGGTTTCATATTTCTAAAGGTTGGTGGGGGCACACAGGCGAGCAATAAACCGAAAACAAAAAATTAAAAACAAAAAAAAAAAAGAGGAAGAAGAACCAGACTTACGCAGTCGCAAATGGCGGAGGTAATTAGGGCACAAAACAAGTCGAACACGATCTGAACAATAGGGTAGTGAACCGGTGTCAATATTCGAACAAGAAAACTACAGAAGAAAAAAAGGAAAATCGAAGCTTACCAGTCGCGCGGCAGAGAAGACGAGAGACTAGGGCTGGGACGATGAACTCGGCTTATGGGAGAAATTGTGTTATATATTTTCTAAATCTGTAATTTTTGGGTGGGTGCAGCCCGTAAGATGAATCACGAGTTAAAGAAAAGAAAATTACGAATCTGCGTTGCATCCCGTACGAGGAGATTTGGGTGGCGAACTCATTTGAGAAGACGAGCGTCGCACTCGAGAGCGGCCTGCCGAGTGTGTGCGGGAGCAAGAGCGACCGAGCAAGGGCCGAGGCGATTTGGGATTTCCGACCTCAGAGCGCCGACGTTGAGTGATCGGAGATGAAGTGTATGAATGTGTGCGCCGTCCGGCAGACGGGCGGAGAAGATGGTAGCCGTAGGGTTTTCGGTTTGTCTCAGGAATATGAGTGCTGTAATGAGCCTGTGAGTGACGATTCTGCGAGTAAATGTGACAGATTGGATAATTGATATCGGCTCGCAGATGAGTGATAAATCATTTAATTGGGCCTTCTTTGTGGTGGGCGGCCCGTGGTACCTTTGGGCCTGGGTTAATATAAATAATATAATATATCATTATATTGGGCCTTTTTAACTTATATATATAATATCGGTTTTCAGTTCAGTTCGGTTAACCGACATATTGTAATCAAATCGAACCGAAAACCAAAATATTGAAAAAATTAAAACCAAAAATCGAACTAATTTGTCGGTTTCGGTCGATTTCGATTGGCTAATCATAGTTTGTGCAGCCCTAGAAGAGACGGTAGAAAAATATGAGAACACAGCAAACGACGTCGTTTGCTGACTAAATTATAATAGGCGATGTGGCGGCTTAAATGAAAACTGGCGACGTGTCGCATAATGAGGGCATGTCTATAGCCACTCTTGACATATCCAAAATGATGTTCAAGCCCATAACATGAAAGAACATAAAACACCAATGACAAAAACCATCATGCAAGTGAAGG